TCGGTCTGCAGCTGTACTACCTAAGCTACGTAGATCTTGGTGGTTGGGCACTGCAGGGATACTTGGTGGTTGGTCACGAAAGTCACCTTCCAGTCGGGCGAGGACAACATCTACTTTAAAATCTGACAACCCCACTGCGAGGGTGGGGAAAAATCAACAGTTTTTGGGTGGGGGCAGTATCTTATGCAGGTTTGTCTTGCATCTTATGCGCCTTGTGATGCACGTTTATCCTTGGCTGTTGTCGAGAACATCATCACTCACTTGCAATGTCCACAGGCATCTGAAAATCAGTGTATGTCCCAAATTCTCGTTGCAAGGATGCAGTCTCCAGGTCCAATCGTGTTTGGCTTCAGGTCTGTCTCAACATTCAGTTTCTGCCATGTGTGTTCTACTACTGTTGCAAGTGTTCTGGCCTTCTGCCGTTTCTAGCAGGTTTATTTGCTTCTTCATCTTCAGTCCTGGCAGGGCAGCACTTGCAAACTCTTCTATAATGTTGTCATTTAGGTCTCTTTACCTAACAAGGTGTAGAAACTCTCTGCTGCTACTATTCCAAGAACATTCCCTAAATTCCCTTCAATGTAGTTTTGCTGGCATGAGGCTATCGCATGATGAAAGCACTACAAGGCATCATGTCTCTCCCATGTTTTGATTTTTCTATTCTACGCTGCCGTGCCCTTGTTAGGCTTCTCTTGATGTGACACTTGCTGCTACGAAGATCTCTATACTCTGACCAGGCTTTCTTTCCTTCTTCTCATCGTGCTCTCACTGCTTGAGACCATTATGAAGGCCGCGAGGCTGACTTAACTGTTGAGAAAAGTGCTGTTGGTTCTATGTGTTGCTCCTCTTACCAAATCTCTTACCAAATCTTCCCGCTTTATGTTCTGTTGCACATATCCTGTAAGGCAGAATGTATACATGTGAGCCATGTATCAAGCTGATTGAAAACGATTTGGTGTCCATCACTCTCAGCAAGTCTGCTGTCATACGCCCTTCTGATTCATCTCCGTGCAAAGCCATCATGCCAACCGTTCGCCTAGCTTTGGCATTCAGATGTGGAAAGGTCGCGGCAGAATCGAGGGGCAAGGCAAGCCGCTGCCACATCGTTGCAAACTGGTAAACTTGGAGGCGGACGCTGCGATCCTCTCTGGTGCATGGTACCCAGATCATAGCCAACCTCCGAGACAACCCTCCAAGCCCCAACTTCCAAAATATGCCTACTGGGTCAAGAAACATGACAAGTTGCAGAAACAAACCATCCCAGCAACCTGACTGCTCTCCGCAGTCTCGTGCTGATCTACACTGGCCCGGCTGCAGCAGCTCTCTCCAAGAGTTGGCGGCCAAGAATCAGACATTCGGCCTCCAATGGATTGGCAACGCAGCCACAAGTGAACAAAAACAGAACAGCAGATGCTCATGAACGACTGCAGGAAGCCTGATCCACAGCAGCTAACCAAAGGCGAAGTCTGTACTTTGCCTCAGCGAACGAAGACACATTTGTCTTTCAGAACTGTGGCTATCTGTTGAAGGCACAAAGAACTTAAAATGGCGCAAGCCACCCACAAAGAAGTGCGGTTTGGCTGTCAAGTGCTGGCCCAGTTGGAGTAGGGCTCTTCCCTCACGCTGGATCAGAGTCAGCCATGAGGGCCGGTGCGATGCTGTGCAGCGGCTAATATCCAACGCCCAGCGTGGCACCCGCAAGTCGTGAAATACATAATCTGGAAGCGAGAAGAATTGCGTTGCTGGTAACACCAACAAGTTCATATCGTTCATCAAGTTCGTATTATGAGACATGCCAGGAGGCGAGATTAGTAACTTTCGGGAAGATATTGCAGCATAAAGCTTCTCTGCATGTCGGAAAGCAATCATGTCATCAGCTCTGCCATGAATCAGCAAAACCGGGCTCGACATTTTGGGAGCCAGTTCAAGATTTGGATACCACTCCTCTACAAAGCATGCCAAAGGACCCACCCTGTCTTTGAAAAGATCTGCCACAGACAGGAAAGGCGTCACCAATATTACGCCGGCAAACCGGAACAACGAGGCCAATTTGATGGCAGGTCCTGTGCCGATTGACCTGCCAAATATCTTGATGCCATCAATCGGCCAAGACAAGCTCTGAGTTGCAAAATGTAAGGCGGACAGAGCATTCTCCATCACAGTCTTGCCACTGGCCACGCCCGGGCACAAGCCGTATCCAGGATATTCAACTGCTAACACATGGGCTTGGAACTTGTCTCGGAGCATGTGGCAAAAAGAGAAACATCTGCCCAAATCTTCTGCATTGCTGTGAAAGAACAATATCAAATATCGGCTGAAGGGATACGTCAACAACAGGCAAGGCACACTGTCAACTCCCACAGGTGGAACGTCGCCGTCCAAAGAACTCCTCTTCGGCACCCACACGAGTTCGCTCGGGAAACTGTCAATTGTATAGCTTGGTTCGGGAGCTGGATACAAAATCCGAGACAAAATGCCACGCTGGAGCATGTGTCGCTGCATCCACGTGGACCAAGCTAGGAATGACGACGTGCCAATCACAACAAAGATTCTGTTGGCCCATGGCAGCTTGAGCATAAGACGAGCAACAAGCAAAACGAGACCTATTTTCTCGTGCATTGTACAACAGCATGTCCAGCACGTACGTGCACAGATTGACGCCTGGCCTCCATCGCTGATGTGGAAGGCGATGCCGCAATGTCCTGCAACAAGTCGTTACTTCTTAATCTGTGCGTGTGCCAGAGCTGACATCAAGCCCTCACCTCACCAACAAATGCATGAAAATTGTATGCTCAGCGTCTGGGACTCATGGCGATGTGGCGAAATAATTTCAAAGCGACTGGTCATAGAAATGTTGATGCAACACTAACTTTCGCATGTCGGAGCTGTGGGAAGGCTAAGCATCCAACACTGCAATACACGTTGGAAAGTGCATGCCTGAAAGATTTAGCGTACGGTTGCAGACAAGAATGCCAAGCTTGCAAACTGCGACCTGGCCATGCTTTGTTTGTCAATTCAAAGGCACTGTCTACGGTTGTGGGTGACCTACGAAATGTGCTTGGCTGATGTCAACATTCGAGCACTTGCCCAACTCAGATGCAAGCTGCGGGATCTGATGTAAAGGAGCCAACTATTTGAGCCGAAAGCTACTGAGCTCAAATCTGGGTTTTCTCAAATAGGAAGACCCTAGCGACCCTTGGGATTTTTGGGAGATAGAAGCAAATATGAGGAGATTACGGATCCCAGATAGGAATTACATTGTTTAAGCATCTACATGTGAGAAACAGAAACATAGGCTTGTCTGAGGATGCCAGAACATGATTAAAGAAGGTTTTCAAGATCATATTGACGTTTCTGTACAAAGGAGGCCACATCCTAGAGAGCTATTGGCAAGCAATGGTTTTAGCACATACCCATGCCTAGCTTGTGTTAACTCCTATTGACAATGACCAGCTCTTTGATGATCAAACGGAAAAGCACTGCTCCGAGATGGGAGGACCTCCTCTGGGAACTCAAACATCCATTCCCTGGCAGGATGCTGTTTCTGGGACGAATCGACACCTTGTATATGCTTCAGGATGGAAACGCTTTAACGCCCTACTCCGGACAGGCTCTACAAAACTGTGCAGTCTTGAGGAATCAAGAGCTACTCTTAACCATGCGGAGGCCCAATGTCCCCAAACAGATAGCTCACGTAGGCAAGCAATGGAACTAGACAAGTGACGAAGCTTGAACTCCGTTTCTTGAGGTTTGTAGCTTAGTTGTGGCCAGGTGAGCTGTGTTTGACCCCCGTAAGCAGGAATGCCAAGCACACCACATCCTGCCTAAAAGATGAAAAGAAGCAAAATCCAAGCCCTCAGCAACCCCTGAGCTACCTGACCCTGGGAAATGTCGACGACCTATTTGCGCCACCCCTCGCTATCAGGTGAAAATTCACAGCAGAGCCGGTGAAAAGGATATCCATCGCACTTGCTGATTGAGGTCGGAGACGCCACTAAACTTTACTAATTTACGCATCGCTTCTGCAGATTGACCTTCAGTGCTGTTCCACACTGTGCCCGAAGGCCGGGCGCAGCTGATCTTTGTGGTGCCACTGAAGCTGTCTTTTGGCATGCTTTGTACGCTCTGGATTGCCGGGTTATTAGAACCCTGGGCAAGACCCAAACGCATTCACATTCCGCACCTTCTGAACCTGACCTCGACGCAGCAGGTAACAACAACCCTATTTCACCGAGCTCTAACAGGGTTACACATCATTATCGCAAGGGAGGCAATCACTCGGAATCCTTCGGCAGTACTCTGTCACATTTCAGCCTGCACTGCCGGAGTGCTCTTCAGAGAGTCACTTGAGTTCATCTCCACCTGGCTCCCTAACTCGGGCATGCAGCCCTGCACAGCTGGCCTCAGCTAAATAACAGCGCAGTTCTACGCGCATGCAGTGCCGTTTTGCATGTGCGTACATTAGAAGACGGGCTCGTAAATGCAGATGCCGTGATCAGAATCACGACTGGAAATACGTCAACTCCCTGCGATTAAAAGTACAGTCATTGACGGCTGCCTTGAGCCAGTGCCCTTTATGGCTTCCTCGTGGTGCTGGGATTATCTCTGCTTGGCATCCTTTACCTCCAAGCCAAGGCTGCACAGACAGACATGAATACCCAAACAACACCCAAATACGCTCGGTGATTCCAGTATTTGGGTGTGTTAAGTCTGCCTAAAGGCCTCTACCATGTCCGCATAGAGAAGCTATGCATCAGCCTTCATCGCAGTTGCACACATCCACCATCGATGTCTCGATCACTCTGCCACTCATCATGTGTAAGACAGCGTACTTCTGCTCACCTTTCTCGCAGCCGCTGATCTGGGACATTCGGGCACAATGTCTCGGCCTCTGGGGTCACGCAGCAAACTCTGCAGATAACTACTGTAGAACGTGAAGGTACACCTGGCCATTGAGAAAGCGAGTGCCACGTGCATTAGGGGCCATCCTGACTGCGTTGCTGACATGCTCTCCCCATATCAGGGAATGCTGTAGCAAAATTGCAACGCATATTAGACCACGCCAATCTCAGTACTCGAACTCATGTTCAGATTCCTTCTGAGATGGCTTGCAAGTAGCTCTTACTCCCCAAATCCTTTGCATGTCTTCCAGCTCTTTGGGGTCTTGGCTGGGTACAACGGCTTTGGGCAGACGCGCGGAGTTCGCAATGGCCCCACAGCTTCGACCGACTTTCCTTGGCATTTGGTGGGTTGCGACAAGCACGTGATGAATTTGCTGTTTCCATGTGGATGTTGGTGTCAAAGTTTAAGCTAGCCTGTTGGTGGCAAGATCACACCCTCGCGATAGGCTCTCTCAAGTTCTGCCAGAATAAGTCGCATCTTCAGGTAAGAAGGTGGCACTCCAAGTGCGTATGCAGAGCGCACTTGATGCGACAACCGCATGCAATCTGACTTAGTGCAATCCTCGATGTCCTTTGCGGAGCCCTGCAACTTGGCCTCACTTTGTTCAAGCTAGCTCGTGGCAAACTGCTCTTTATGGCAGAACATGGCCGACAGCTGAAGCCCACGACGGTCCAAAACAGGTCAGAAACGTGGGGTGGTCTACACTCAGTAGCAGCCAACAAGCCTGTGACTGTCGATGAGCGTTGCGATATGCGGACGTACTAGTTGCTTGCCTGTCCCCGACCTGTTTCTGCCACCGCGGGTGAGGGTTCGGGAGTAGGTCTAGGGACATGTTTTTTGCAAGTGCGCCGAAAGGAAACTTGCGTAAATATGTTGACGCAGCCTTGCAAACCCCCTCGCGGTAGGCCTAGACCGATTTGTTGATCTCCTACGCCCACGCCCCCCACCTAGCCACCTGCAAAGATGGAGACTGTCCATCTTGTTGGTCTGGCGGCCCAGTGGCGGCCCTAGCAGCATGTGCCGCCTCGGCCCTAGCAGCGTGTGCCGCCTCTACAGTGGCTTAGTGCTGGATGTGATGGCCCCCATCTCGAAGATGTATCTTTACAACACACTGGGATGGATCGTCGATGTATCTTGACCAGAAAGTGGAAAGAAAGCCTCTGCAAGCCGGGCCAATGTGCGTCCGCACACGACTGTCTTGATAAAGACTCCTGCATGCTGCGGCCACGAGGACACCCGTTAGATGTTTGGACGGGAAGCGACGTACGTTCAGGAGGTTGATGTTGGCAATCTCTTGTGCTTGCCATGCTTGTGATGTGATGTTGGGCAGGCGTGTGCCAAGCGAGGAAGCGGGCGTGGCAACGGAGCTAGACATCGACGAGGCATTGGTTGTACAGCTTCTGCTGAAAGCTGTGGAAGTTGATCCTGGCCAATCTGAGTCGTGCATGAGCCGAAGACGTGGGCCTTTGTGGCAAGTTGCACGCATCGATGGCAAAACCACACGGCCTTCTCCCAAGTCATGGCTGTCAAGCAAAGCGTGCAAATGCAGCAATGTTTCAGGCTTGTCGGATAGGTAGGCCTCTCCTCACTTCAACATGCAAGGAACTTTTCCAGTGCGCTTCCTCACTTGGGGTACCATCTGAGCTTGCAGCACAGCATCGCATGGGCAGGAACCGTGCCTCCCGCGCCTCTGCACTCAAACACGGCAAACTGTTGGCCGAAGCCTCGGCGTATCAAATTGAAAGCTCGTTTGCGACGGCGTCGGTGCAGTGGTCTCCTGCTGCCACCACCAGCAAGGGTAAGCCTGGTCCAAGGTAGGCGCGGAACGCCGCAACTGCTGGGCCTTCTGGCTTTCAAGTTTGCATGTTTTGCTTCTTGTCTATTTGGTCACATTCACATTAGCACTCACCATCTTGGAACATGGGCTTCTGAAACGCAAGGTCTTTGTGGTCTTTGCTCTGCTCGCTTTTCCACAGTGCCACAAGGAGAAGAGAAAACTAAAAGGCATGATGAAGTTTAGTGAAGTCATCAAGCTGACGTTACGACGCGCCACTCTTCTGCAAGTCAGTCATGGATTCTCAGTGAGTTATGAGGCGAGTAAGGCATCCACACTCAGCACGCTTTGAAGGATTGATATCTGCTAGCTGCAAGACTTTGTGGTTATCAATTGTGGCAGACACCCAACCTCAAAATTGGTAGTTGCTCGCTCTCGGTGCTGAGGCAAGTTCACACAACGTGGCATTCCGACAAACAGAAGTGACGCTGTCATCCTGATCAAGCGCGGGCAAACTCCAAGTATCGGTTAGCACTGTGAGACGCACTGCCTTGGCATGACTCACGCAGTGCACCAACATGCTGAAGCTGCCACAACACCGAATTTTGAGCCCGCCATCAAGGGGAGGATCACACAGGTGCCCTCTAAAGCGCTCTGGTGGCACAAGGTTGCAGCCAAGTGAAGCTCCCTGCAAGGATAGCATTGGTTTTCAGAAGCCTGCAACACCAGGATCCAAACAGGCAGTAATCGAGGGAAACTTGTGTGAAGAGCCCCCCGCAACCTTGACAATAGCTGCAAATTCGAAAATCAAGACTGGTTC